TATATATATATATATATATGTTACTTATAAATAAACAAAGTCAGTGGGAGTATTTTGGTCTTTGGGCGTGTTGGCTGAGTTTCAATATAAATGTATATAAATGTCATTTTCATGCAGAGGTGAAGTAAAGCAATACAGGATTTACCTGTATAAATAAAGGTTGATTGAAAGCTCATGCTGATGAAGAGAGAATCAGAGACCTTGGTGAGATAGTGCTGCTGCTAGAGAGACCACATGGATATGTGCATGTTTAACATGCTAGCCTGATGTTTAGAAATTTAGTGGATCTCTGTCATCTGACAAAGTTCATACAAAAAATAAATTTGCTGTCAGTCATGATGATGCCTGCAACACTGTTGTAGAAAGTCTTTCAGTTTACCTTTGTGCTGGGCTCTGACCTTCAGCCTCACTGACAATCAGCACATGGTGACAGAGCGTTAATTAAAGCAGCTAAAAAAAAACTGTCACTGCGTTTTAACCCACACGCCAATTAGCATGTTTTATTTTAGTCTGGGCAGAAAAATCTCATTAAAACACATTCTGGAGATTTAAACGATACCAACACAATCCACACACGAATAAAAACAGGAAAACAGATGAGGACAACACACTGCTGTGTAAAAAAAACAACATAATTAAATTCACACAATTAAATATTTTTCATGTTATTTTTACGTTCATAATAGATTGTGATAATCATGCAGATCCTCTAAAATCCTTGATTTTGGTTTATAAAACATTTGAGTCAATCATTTAAAAATTAATGTTAGGGTTTTTTAAGAAACAAAAACTTTTTTCTCAAATAAATTTAAGTAGAAAAGTATAGAGGCATTATTTATTTGGCTCATGTTATGCATAAAGTAGTGAGCAACAGAGTTTAGGCTTTTAGCACCGTCTCCTACTATCTCATTGTTCTCAATGACATATTTCAATGAAGTTAGAGAGAACTGTTAGTTTGCTCATCTGATTTGAAGAGAATAATTGTGGTGTTTGTAGTTGTTCTGTTAGTTGTTGTGTTTGTTCTATCTTCAGTTTGTGAATCCCAACAGTAGCATCAGCATCCTCAACTTAACTCTGTGTAGATACCAGGGACCAGATCTGTGGCTAATGCCAGACTTCAAGCAAACAAGTCTTTACCTTCCCAGGTTTAATGTTTTTATTTCCTATATATACTGTATATTTGTTTTCTTTAGATCTTTATAGAACCAACATTATAAGATTTCAAGGTGAATTTTGATGACAAACTTCATATTCAGATGTTGTCAGTAACAGTTCACCTGAGGATTTGCAAAATGCTTTTCTGTCCCTCGGAAGTTTTAAGCTTCTGTCAGTCCTTGCTAACAAATACCAAAATAAAAATCATTGAAGGAGTTTTGGACAGCACAGTGGCACCGTTAGTAGAGCTGCCGCCTCTCAACAAGCAGGTTGCTCCAGTACAAATCCCGTTCGGGGGGGTCTTTCTGGGTCTGCATGTTCTCTCCGTGCTGTGTGGGTTTTCTCCAGGTACCCCGGTTTCCTCTCACAGACCAAAAACATGCATGTTAGACTGACTGATAACTCTAAATTGTCCCTAGGTGTGAGTGAGAGAGTGAATGGTTGTTTGTCTCATTTGTGTCTATGTGTCCCCGTGATGGACTGGAGACCTGTCCAGGGTGTCTCCTGCCTCTCGCACAGTGATTGCTGGACATGGGTATCAGTGACCCCCCACGACCCGAAAAAGGAAGAAGCGGGTAAAGATAATGAATGAAGGAGTTTTAAATTAGCAATG